TTTGGGTTTATTTCACCAATGTTTTTCTTTTATGTTAATTGAGTTCTAAGTAAAATGGAATTGTGTTTTCAATGAAACAAAGACAATTTATTGGGACTGATGAATAGAAACTGTCCCATGTGTTCCATTCTGCATTTCCCAGGTGGATTTCCTAAAAAAATACTGGTAAATAACTGGGCAATTGGATGGTGATGGTTGTGGTGTCTTTAGGCTTTCAGATTTATGTACCCTGAACATTCTCATCAATCACAGAGTCAACTACCCCCAGGGCAAGTTGATGCAGCACACAGTAGCTGGTTATTATCTTTGATCTTTAGATCATAATTACTCCAGAACAAATTAAAGAATACCTAGGAGCTCAAGACTTCTCTGATGTTTATAGCTTCAGCATAAGAAAATCTAAGGGAAAAAAATGGTAAATTTGATCTGAACCTAAGGGAAAGAGAAAAGCTTGTATTTCTAATTAAATTGCTGAGTTGGTTTCCAATCAATACACACCTAAAAAAGACTTGAAACAAAAGAAAATTAATATTTTCTTTGGTCTTGCTAGCTCCTTTTCTTTTCTTTCTTTCTTTTTGTTTTTGTTTTTCGTTTTTTTTTTTTTTGAGTTTAAAGCAAAGGGAAGAGTCGTATTTAGATGATACACAGTGTCAGGGATAATAATGAATTTGCCTGCAATCAGAAATGTCTCACCTATTGACTTAGTGGATGCAAAATTATACTTGGTTGTGTAGCATTTCTTTCTGTATCACCCCATATAACTGAACACGAGTAAGTTAAATTCTGTATATATGTATATAGCCACAGGAAAGATCACAAATTAAAATGAGGAAGCAGGTCGTTCACTATAGGTTTCTAAGAGGTGGAAAGATTAATTCCATAGATAGTACATCTGAAAACCAGTAGTGTTCAGAATATTTCTTTATGGGAAAAATATGAATATATTTTTCAGAAGATATCCTAAAATGTATAAAAGAAACTGCAGTTTCCTTGAAAATAAATGTTCGTTCTATGATTTTAACTCTTACCATTTTCCCCTTTAGGGCCACTTCTGGGTATCCTGTGTGAGTTAAGATGCTGAAACACAGTTTCAGTTATTCTTGACATTCTGACTGCAACTGAATATTTCAATTTCAGATGATGAGAAAGGTTTCTATAAGGCAGGTTTACAACTTGGTACATATCAAGACTCTGGTTACAGAGAAGAAGAGGCAACATTGCTCTATCACAGTAGTGGGCCCACTCAAAGTGGTCTTAAAATGGGGTCTGCTTTTAGATTTTCAATATATATTGTCTTGAGTATAAATGACAACTTCACTGGGGATTTGAGGAATGCACCTGCCAGTCTGAGGCCCCATTGAGAACATTTTGAAATTGACAGTTTTTCTTTGTTGTTTTTAGCTACCACTGATCTAGAATTTATTTATTTTTCATTTATACATTGTGAAACTTCAAAAACAGAAGCATAGAGGGAATATTACGATGAACTCACGGGTACCTGCCACTCAGCTCTTCATTTTGCCAATGGAATTGGATCTGGTATTGTCTGTCTTGTCTTACACTGGTTTAGAGAATACAGAAGTTCTTTGGACTCTGTCTTCCTATCAGATCGCCCTGAAAGGTGAAATCATAACCACTGACCAGTTCCTTCTTTGTAGCTATCCAGCTCTTAGTGCATGTCATCTTCTACCCTAATGCAGTCACTTCCAGATGTTTCATTTTTCAGAGTACCTTTTTTGTTTTTCTTTTTGGCACAACTCTTTTTTTGTCTCATGACTATTTAGAGTTCGTATGTGCAATGGGAGCAGTCATGAGGTCAGGTGTGTCCCTGGGCACAGAAAACCAGGGCACCATACATGTGCACAAGCTCCTTTCCAGAGAGATCTGTGACATGGAGTGAGGCAGAGGGAGAGTTCGAAGATGGAAACTGCCAGGCTTAGTCTTTGGAGAGTATTTCAATGAGCTCCTTATGTATGTTAAATTAGATGCCTGCCTCTCAGGCTGAGGCTTTAAGAAAAGCAAATAGATCTCTTTCACAGAAAGACGGTGCTTTTCAGCTGGCTGCTTCTGTGCTGGGCCCTGGGATGTAGCCAGGTGAGTTTCAGCGAGCCCTTTCGGAACCATTTCTCAGTTCACTGCAGCCTTTTCGGTCTTGTGATTGCTAAGACACACTGGCTTTCCAAGCTAGATGCTTTGAGGTGCATCTCTAAGGTGCAAGTCTTAAAAGCTGAGGTACCAGATTTAGGGTTCAAATCGCTTGCCTCCTCAGGGGTTTTGAGTTCCATCCCTACTGTGGGTTGCTATGCAAGGGGTTGGATGTATAGCAAGATTGTGTCTCAGTCTCGACTACTCATTTCAATGTGGGTATTTTCTTATCTACATTATGTGCAGGAATTGCTCAGCTAGCCTAGGGGTTTCTTTCAGAGGAAATTATTCTGTGTGCAGCTGTAGATTTGGTGTATCTGTAGGAGGAGGTTAGTTTAGGATCCTCCCATGTTGCAAGCTCAAACTAGAAATCTCAAGCTTTCTTGTGCATCCTAAAGTCATTGCTAAAGATTCCTTGTCATAGTAGAAGAAACCTTTCCAGATATCTATTTTCTTTTGGCCCAAAATGTTTTCTGCTTCTTTCTTTCTGCTTATAAGATCTGAGGTGTACCCAGTGACTTTGGAATAGCCCTTCAAATAATGGAAAATAGTTACACTCTACTCCTACTATCAAAACTACATTACAGAGTGGGAAATGGTAAAAGACATAAAAAGCAAGTTGAAAAACCAAAATTGGTGTGGATATGGATTCTCTCTACTCTGAAATGAGACCAGCTTTTAGACATCAATAATGTAAACAATGACTCACTCAAAGAGGGTTTGGTCCATTTTCATAATGTTGCTTGCAGGCACAAAAAGGAGAAACAAATAAGAATGTGTAAGACTCATATTCGTAAGCAAGAAAGACCAAGTCACAGGTCTTTCTTTTACAAACATAGCAGAATGCAGTGCTCTGCTCTCTTGACCATGTAAACATCATCTCTTCAAGAGTGGTGATAATTTTTTCTCATCCTGTTTACTCCCCTTTCCCCACCTTATCCTCTCTCCAAGTGTGTTGGGGGTCCTTCAGTAATATTGCTTCAGAAGCATGTTAAGAGTAGCAAACAGTAGTAGCAAGAGGAAGGTTCTCCCCTGCAAACTCCATTTATTATAAATAATGCAAAGAAATAGGGCTATTAGATTTCCCGGCTTGAATTTAAGGGCCACCAGCATAAAATGGAAACTGAGTGTTGAACATATAGTATAGCAGCAGGTGAAGCTGAGACACTGAAAATTGTCTTTGTTCAGGCTGATATAACAGAACACCATAGTCTCAGTGGCTTATAAACAGCAGACATTTATTTCTCACAGTTCTGGAAGCAGGAAATCTGATGTCAAGGTGCCAGCATGGTTAGGTTCTGAAAAGAACCCTCTTCTGGGTTGCAGATGACCATTTTCTCATTGTGGCTTCACATGGTGGAGAGACCAATCATCTCTCCAATGTCTTGTCTAATAAGGGCACTAATCCTATTCACGGGAGCTCCACCCTCATAACCTAATCACCTTAAAAAGGCCCAACCTTCTAATACCATCCTATTAGGGATTAGGGTTTCAATATATAATTTGGGGCGGGGGGGCATAAACATTCAGTCCACAACAAGAAGAGAATCAAAGAGGGTGGAAAGGATTCTATAATGTTGGAAAGGTGATACAAAGTGATGTCTCTGACCTCCTCTGGACTCAAGGGCATTCCCAGATCTGTAATAATATGAGTTTACACAGTTTTTTGGCAAAAATTCCTTGTCAGAGTGACAAAGTAACATAGAATATCACTGTCAACACTTTGATCTGGAGTCACAGCCAAATGTCACCATTCTCCATTCTGCATTCTCAGATAGATCCTGTTTATTCATATGCTGATTTTGAGCTTCTGGCTGGCTCTAGCTGATACCTTTGTATCATTGTTTGAGATCCAATAGAAACAGAGATAATTTATGCAAGACATATCTTTGCAGAATTAAGTTAAACTTTTCTCAAAAATACAATAAATGTTCACTGATAAAAATGTAAACAAATGAAAAAGAACATGTATGACACAAAAATCACTCTAATTCCTATATTCAAAGGAATGCCTGTATTATTACCTCTTGCTAAAAATCTCGCTGTAGAATTGATGCTTCCCAATTGTGGTGCTGGAGAAGACTCTTGAGAGTCCCTTGGAGAGCAAGGGGATCAAACCAGTCAATCCTAAAGGAAATCAACCCTGTATATTCATTGGAAGGACTGATGCTTGAGCTGAAGTGCCAATACTTTGGCCACCTGAAGCAAAGCACCAACTCATTGGAAGAGACCCTGATGCTGAGAAAGACTGAAGGCAAAGGAAAAGTGGGGGGGGGGNGGGGAGCAGAGGGTGAGATAGTTACATAGCATCACTGATTCAATGGACATGAACTTGAGTGCACTCTGGCAGATAGTGGAAAACAGAAGACCTTGTGTGCTATAGTCCATAGGGTTGCAGAGAGTTGGACACGACTTAGCAACCAAAGAACAACAGCAACAAAAGTCTCAAAACTCGATAACGTAAAAAAGGAGTCATTTATTAATGTTCCTGCATTTACAAGTCAGCTGGGTAGCACTTCTGATTTGGACTGGGGATGGCTGATTTCAGCTGGGCTCCTTTTTGAATCTATCATTAGCTGATGGGGAAGCTGGGGGCAGCTGGGAGCTTCCCAGTATCTGGCTGGTCTAGGATGGCCTCAGCATGAGTAACTTGTCTCTGTTCCACACAGTCTCCCAGCTTCCAGGAGGTTAAACCAGGTTTATTATTCCTCCTGGCAGAAGTAGCATTCTGAGAGGGAAGGGAGAAATGTTTAAGGACCCTTGAGGCCTAAGCTGGTAGCTGATGCCATGCCAACTCAGTTGAATTCTACTGGATATCAAAGGGTAAGGAAATAACCTTTAATTCTTGGTGGTAGATGCTCCAAAGACACATTGCCAAGGAAAAAGTGGAACACTGAGGTTCTTTCTACAATTAATCTACAACTCCTTGAAATTTGTGTGTATATAGATCGATAAGTAAGGTAAGTAGAGAAATATTTATATGAAAATACAGATAAACTTATAAAATTCAAATCTAAAACTAGTTGTAAAAATTTATATGCATGAAATATATGTATAAGTAACTATGTTTTAAAATATTAATCATTACATTAATTATAATATATAAATGTATAATTATATAATGTCTAATACATATTACTTATAATTATAATTGTTATAAATAATATATACATAATTTATATACTAAGATCATGGAACATAATATTCTGAATTCATTTCATGCTCTACTAGAGCTATTTCTTATTTCATAAAATGTTTGAAAATATTATTCTAGTGGTACAAAATACCTAATTGTACAAATAAGCTATAATATTTTAAACTATGTATGAGCCACTTTTATTTATTNCTATAATATTTTAAACTATGTACGAGCCACTTTTATTTATTTCATTCAGTTTTTTCAAACTTTCATTCTATTTTAATTATACATTATGTTAAAAAAAGGCAGTGAGCCATAAATTCTCTTCAAAATAAAATTAAATACTTTTGTAACTGATAAAACACAAAAGGCAATGATCACAAATAACTTAAAAATATAAAATATTAACTAAAGAATTCACAAGTAAACAAACAATAATAAAATCCAAGCCACAGTAAATAATTCTGGGAAAGAGGGAGGGATGAATTGAAAATACGGTTGTCTCCTTGTCTTGCATGAGAAAAGGCCTTACACAGTATCGTTGTATACAACTCTACTCTGAAGTACATTGCATAGAGAAAGTCTCACATATAATGCCATACAGATATACAAGAATGTCATAACAGGCTTATTTATGAAAATAACAAAGCTGGAAACATTCAAAATGCCTATCAACAAGAGAAAAGAACAATACATTACATACAGCAGCAAAAACTAATGAATTCTACTGTGGTTCGGAGCAGAGCTCTGACGCCAGGCTGCCCAAGTTCACATGGGCAACTCTTAAAATCTGCCTGACTACCAGCAACATACTTAGCCACTCCTTATCACATTTTCCATTTTCCTCATCCCAAAGATGAGAATAATAATAGGATCTACCTCGTTGTTTCTTGTAAACAATAACTGTTAATACATGTGGATTATTTATAATGGTCCCTCACACATAGCTCTCAAATACTGCCTATCATTTCAGGAAGGGCTTTTTGTTTGCTTGTTTTGCTTTTAGTTTTTGGGTTTTTTTTTTTTTTTTCAGATGAGGAAGAAACATATTTTGTTGTCACAAATAAAAAAATTGTTAGGTGGCACCATTTTTATCCATCTTGCCTTCAGATACAATTGTTCCCTCCTTGGAACTTTGTAGTTCCTTCTGCCTGGAATGCCTGTCACTTTATTCACCTAGGATTTCATATATTTTCTCAAATTTGATGTTCTCAGTGAAGCTACACTGACCATGCTGTTCAGAATTGCAGACCCAATCTCCATCACTTGTAGTTCTAATTTCCCCTACTCTGCTCAACTTTCATTCCCCATCTCATCTTCTACAATACTGTATATTCCCTTTTTAGTTAAGCTTAGTGTTTAGCACCTGTCCATTCTCTAGAATCCAAGCTCCTTATGGGCTGGAATTTTTATTTTATGCAGTGTGAATTCAGAAAACTAGAAGAGTGTCTGGCACATAATAGGCACTCAAATTTTTTTGTTAAATGAGTAGATTTGAATTCTTACCTAAGAACTATCTGGTTGCAGTCTTGGGAAAGTCAATTAAATGTTTGGGCCCCAGTTTCCTTCTGTTTTTTGGTGATGAGAACACCTATGCTGGAGGTTTGTTGTAATGATCCAAGGTGACACCTTGGAGGTAGTCCATACAGTTCTGACACATTTATGGGAAGCAGAAAATGTAACTTCCCCTCTCTGCCCTCACCTTCTCTTTCCATACATTATTATCATCCACAGTTTCCATTAAAATTACTGAGCTGGAGAAGGAAATGGCAACCCACTCCAGTATTCTTGCCTGGAGCCTCCCGTGGACAGAGGAACCTGGTGGGCTACAGTCCATGGGCTCGCAAAGAGTCAGACAACTGAGTGACTAACACTTTCACTTTTAAAATAATGTGTACTGTAAAGCAGTTAAAATCTCAAGCATGGATTAAGTGCTAAACACACAGAGGAAGGCCGTGTTATGGGTGAGGAGGGGGGAAGACAGGGAGTCCCAAGAGGAAGATGGAAACATAAGAGAAGAAGGTCAGTGAGTGTGGAGAGCCTGCATTCAGGTTTGGGATTGCTAACGTCCAAATGGATGCCTTGCCAGTGCTTAGCTACTCTCAATTTAGTTTCACATATGAAAAGTGGGAATAATAATATCTTCTTTTTGAGTTTGAATGGGAATTAAATGAGGTAATTTTTGTAATAGCATCTGGACTGTGCTGTCACACAGAACTTGAAAAAAGTTTAGTTGAATCTAAGAAGGAACTCAGTTCTTACTTAGGTGTGGAGAATTTCAACATTGAGAGAAGGTGGAAATGGAGGAAGGAAACAGAGAGATGTGTAGATGCAATGAGATCCAAGACATAGACGGACTACATTTTCGTTCTGTGAATTTTGCCTTTATATGCTTCTATAAGAATTTATGAGAATAAAACCTTTGATTTTAGCCAGACAAGGCTGAAGATCTTCAATTTCATGTAAATGTCTGAAAGTATTCAGTGGGCAGTGGCAAACCTAAGAGCATTTTGAGCATGGAATTCATAAGGTGAGAACTATGATTTAGTGAGACTGATTAATATGACAGCAAATGTGCAGGCTCCATGGAAAGAGAAGAGACTCCAGGCAGTGAAACCAATCCCTACTGGGTGCCTGGCGCTTAACCAATATTTGCTGAATTAATTGAATATTAAAGCGTGTATTTGCATTTTGTTAGGTGCACTATTCACCATTCTAATTGGTGTCTAGAGACATTATGCATGTGATAAAGCTTTGCTTACTCTTTCCATCTCTGATGCATGTAATGGGAATGAAGAAAATGGACATTTCCAGTGACTCTCAGATTGACATACAGTCTCCTCTTTGCCTCATTTGAAATGCAGTGATTGAAAGTCAAATTTAAAGGATAGAGAAGATTGCATTAAGTCATTAAATAAAATGTCCCTTGAGGCCAAAGGTATGATGGGATGTAAATAGCCACTTGTCAGCAATATGGGATTAACCACCTTAAACCTTTTTTTTTTTTTTTTTTGCCTAACAAAGTGATGGGTCTTACAAAACGGAGCAGGCTTCTGTTTTGAAGTGATCTTTTGTTGACACTTGTGTGCCCTAGTGGAGCTGGCATCCCAATTTGTTGAGTGGGCGCTCAGCCAACTTGCGAATGAATCTGAGCACAGGCAGCCGGTCTTTGTGACTGACGTGCATTGATTATGCAGGATGTCAGGATAGTAAAGTTGAAATGGCCGTCTGTCCTCAGCTTCTGTGCTGGCCATGGAAGGGATGGGCTGTCAAGAGTCCAGCTTTCAGCTCAATTAATTCCAAAAAATAAGAATTAGCTTCTGCCGTGAATTGCCGCAAATTAATATGCTTAGGAAATCAAAATCGGTAGTCCTCCAAAAGACAGAGCAGGGTCCTTCGCTTTATGACTGTTTTTGTATAAAGCAAAGGACAGACTTTATAATTTAAAAAAAAAAAAAAAATCACCCCACCCCCACCCCCAGGTTTTGTTATTTTACAATCTCTCTCCCTGCCATGGGTCTGGTTCTAAGCAATAGCTGGATTTTACTCATGTTTTCTAAGACAGCAAGGAAGTCTAGGGCACTGCCATTTTTGTCTTCTGACTTTTGTGTGTGTTCTTGTTCTGATTAAAAGAAATAATCTAAAGGCACAGAATCAAAACTTTGGCTGTTGGCATATTAAGTCAAATGTTCCAGTTCTAAAGGTTCTGGAAGTGGCTCTCTAAATTTTGGGTCTCTTCAGGTTCTTTCTAAAGAGCCCAATAGACGAATCTTATTTACCCATTCCAGAATGCATGTGATGGTCTCTTGGGTTTGTATCGTGTTGAACTGACTCCATCTGACAGTAAACTACTGAAGGGCATCGTCTCTCCCTTTTTCATGGACATGCCTCTAGTCTCTAACATTGTCTGGCATTTGCCAGGTGCTTAGTAAATATTCTTTAACTCGATGTATGAAACTCATTATGCAGGATCTGTTTGGAGGGGTTCAGGGGGCACAGAAGAAGGCAGCATGGGGAACAGAAATGCAATTCACTCAATCCCTGTAAAGCACCAGGCAAGCGCTAGGTTCTTTATACATACCTAGGTATTCTGTACCTGGCTTTTAATTAACAGCTTAGATGTCACTGTCTTTACTCAGCAAATCTTCAAAATTATTCAGGTCTGGTTTACTTGTCCCTCCTATACTTCCCCACCTATCTGTCAAGTCTATTCTAATTGCTCATATACAGGCTCTGACTCCGCACAGGACTGCAAAACCCAGGAGGGTGGGAACAGCATCTTCCTTGTTCACTACTGTAGCCCGAGGGCCTGTGATATTGCCTACTTCTTTAGTCTCCACAGTGGGTTGTTTGGTTTCATCTTTACAAGCTTTCCATGACAGAAGCATTAAAATTCAGGCAAGAAAAGTGAGGTTCATAGTTTACATGACTTACCGAAGTCAAGAAGCTTATAAATGGCAATTGTTCTTGCTGTTTAGTTGCTAAGTTGTGTCCGACTCTTTTGTAACCCCATGGACTGTGTAGCCCCCAAGGCTCCTCTGTCCATGGGATTTTCCAGACAAGAATACTGGAGTGGGCTGCCATTTCCTTCTCCAGGGGATCGTCCCGACCCCAGGATCAAACCCGCGTCTCTTGCCTCTCCTGTGTTGGCAGGAGGACGCCTTACCACGGGGCCATCTGGGAAGCCCTATAAATGGCGGAGCCTGAATTGAATCCAGATCAGGCCCAGTCTACACTTTTTCAACTATTCAACACTGCTCTGCTTTATGACAGTGACGGTTTTGTGCCTAGAGCATGCGAAATGTTCCCGCAAAGAGAAAA